CACCGTTTCAAAAAATCTTTGTTTTTGCACCCCAACCACATGCAAAAAGACAAAATGCCCTTAATCAGCAATATGTTGAAGGCCAACAAAATTGTTAGTGGAGAGACAATTTTGGTGCTGTTCTGTTCGTCTTATTCTTATTACTTATTACTTATTCTTATTTTATTCAGATCATATCAGATCAGATCAGAAAAATTCAGATCAGATCAGATCAGATCAGATCAGAAAAATTCAGATCAGATCAGATCAGATCAGAAAGATTCAGATCAGATCAGATCAGATCAGAAAGATTCAGATCAGATCAGAAAGATTCAGATCAGATCAGATCAGATCAGAAACATTCAGATCAGATCAGAAACATTCAGATCAGATCAGAAAAGTTCAAACATGATTTATCACTTTTATTATTATATTAATTATTATTATTAATATTGTTATTACTATTATGATTATTATTATTATATAATTATTATTAATAATATTAATAATAATATGATAAAAAAATAAGATATTAATAATAGTTATAATATTTTAATATAATAATAGTAATATAAATGCAATTATTAAGAAGACTATTATTATTATTATTACAACATAATAATAATATGATTAATATTATTATAATATTATATTATAATTATATGTAATTATAATTATAGTTACAATTAAAATTCTTATAATTATAAGTATAATCAATTATAATTATTATAATTATATCTATAATTAATTATAATTGTAATTAGTTATAATTATTATAATTATAATTATAATATAATATTATAATAATATAATACTAATTATAATAATAATCATATTATTATATTATTGTAATAATAATATTAATATAATAATATCGTTATAATAATATTAATTGCATTTATATTACTATTATTATATTATAATATTATAATTAATTTTAATATAATTATAATTATTATTAATTATAATTATAATAATTATAATTATACTTATAATTATATTATAATTATAATTTATGATTATAATTATTATTTTTATTATAATTATTAATATTATTATTATTATTACTATTGTAATTATTTTATGGAGTAATTATAATAATATTGATAACTATAGTTACAATTATAGAGATAAATATTGTAATTATAATTGCAATTATAATTATATAAGTAATTATAATTAAAAATATAATTACAATTATAATTATATCTATATTTATAATTAGTGTAATAGGTATAAATTTTTTCATTTTAAATTTAATTTAAATTATTATTATTATTATAGTTACGATTATGATTATAATTTTATTTAAATTATATTTGTATTTGCAATTATAATAATTATAATTATAATTATAATTATAATTATAATCATAGAAATATTCAAATCAGATCAGATCAGAAAGATTCAGATCAGATCAGAAGGATTCAGATCAGATCAGAAACATTCAGATCAGATCAGACCAGATTAGAAACATTCAGATCAGATCAGAAAGATTCAGATCAGATCAGATCAGATCAGAAAGATTCAGATCAGATCAGATCAGATCAGAAAGATTCAGATCAGATCAGATCAGATCAGAAAAATTCAGATCAGATCAGATCAGAACTTAAAAAATTCAGATCAGAAACATTCAGATCAGGCGAAGAGAACAGCTTCTTTGTCTTTTCTTATGGGGTTGGGGTGCAAATTTTTTTTTTAAAAAAACGGAGTACAAAGTTCAATTGCACAATAAAACGGGGTGCAAACTCAAATTATCCATTAATAAAAGTATATATTTGTGCCAAGATATAGTAAGGCAACCAAATTGACAAGTCTACAAGGTGATGTTTTAGATATGATTTCAGATTGAAAGTGTGAGTTGTGTAATTTGATTGAAAATTTGAAGTTTACGGATGATTATTTGGCTACTTTGTTAATGAAGAGATCGTTGGTTTCTTAGCATTAATTAGAAATGTCGCATATGGAAGGTTTGTAGTGTCACTACAAAAAAACATCGAAATAGGCACGGATTGGACGAATTTGGCACGAACTGTAACTTATTTTTGGCACGGCGTCGTGCCAAATAGCTGGTGACAAAACGACTTTGGCACGGAATTTGGAACGGATTTAAAACATCCGTGTCAAATCCGTGCCAAATACCCTACGAATTTTGACAACTCCGTGCCAAAGCTCCGTGCCAAATCCGTGCCAAAATCGTTGTTTTTTTTGTAGTGTGTGACGAGTTGATAATGTGTGTTTCAATATATTTCATTTATAAACAATTGTGTGTATGTAACCTAAAATTTTGGAGCAAAAAAAATGAATTTAAAGCAACTCAAAAAGGTGTATTTAGTTTTGAAAAAAACTAATCATTAATCATTGTTTTAGGTACCTTTCAATATATGAGTTTATGTTGAATATGTAATTGATGTTATGCGCATGTTTGGCACAATTAGTTGAAAAGATATTTTTGTGAGATTTTTTGTGATTGTTAGCTTTTAGTGATTGAAAAGATTTTAAAGAAAAAAAGTGGTAGTTGTTTGGTAAAAATTAAGCTAATTGTTTGATTTAATTTGGTGTGGTAAACAAGTTGTTAGAACTAATTAATTCGGTTTGGTAAACAAGTTGTTAGGGCTTAAAGATTTTTTGTTTTTTGAAAAGCTTTTAAAAATTCACATGTCAAACATACAACTAGAAACTCTTAAAGAGTTTTTTTTTAAAAGATTAAGTGAAGGCAACTTACGGAAATTCATCGAAGCATTTTTTTTAAATATTCATTGAAGCATTTAGTCATGTAGATTTTATGTTGAGATGCAAATAAAATAGATGGTGAGAAACGAATAGTTGAGAAAATACTATGAGGAGAGAGAAATTAGATTGTAAACAAATGTGATGTTCTTTTGAAAGTGTTGATTAATTTCATACTTTTAATTATTTGAATTTGTGAAGTTGTGAGATAATGAGTATATTTTATTACTTCCCCATTCTCTTCCGTTGTTTTGTTAATTGCAAATTTTCAATTTGAAGCATTCCGATTCATCATTTTCACCTTTATTATATTAATTCTTTATTAACAAAATATTATAAAAACCCAGATCATGAAAATTTGTAAGGAGATGAATTCAACAACTTTTTGTAAAAAATAATTTTCAACATTATTAAGTAAAATATAGTCAAAATATAACGTGTGAATAATGTAAATTTTTCATGTTACAACTAAAAAGTAACCGAGGATCGTAGTACCCAAGTTTCATCGGGTATAGTCTGGTCTGATCCATTCTATTTAAGTGTCATCTATTTTGGAATGTTTACATTTGATGTGATCTAACATTGAAAATAAGCTAATTAAAAAATAATAAAAAAATAATTAATTATATTTGCTAAAAGATAATCACAAATAAAATCAGTCTAAATTTAACTAAACAAACCTTATACTACCTCCGTCCCTTATTAAACTTCCAAATAGGTTTGACACAGAGTTTAAGATAGTGGGTATTGTGTGGTGGAGAGTTGTGCAGAGGAGAGAGAAATATGTAAGAATTGCTGTGAACCACAAATTCTGGCCAAAAAGGGAAAGTGAAAGTTTTAATTGGGACGGACGAAAAAGGAAAGTTGGAAGTTTATTTAGGGACGGAGGGAGTACTACTTATTTACTACGTATAAAATGAATTTTATTCTTCCGTGCATCGCACGGGTAGAATACTAGTACAAAAGAAAAAAAGTAAGAGGCGGCAGGAAAAAGAAGCTGCATACGACAAAGAAGGAAACAGCTGGCCTAGAATGAAGAAAAACAGGAGTGGGCTAATCGCTTTAAATTGAGAGGCAGCAGAAAAAAGAAGTCCAGCAGAAAGAAGTAACTTAACAAATAGCCTCTAAATTGGAACTATTTACAAAAACGTTGGTTGTACATGTCCTAGGTACATCCGATTGTACTATACTACCATATAATTTGCATTTTCGTCCTACTAACATTGAGACATGAGAAGGTATTGTAGTTAAAAGTGAGTTTATGTGGTAAATGTTGAATTAATAAAGCAACAATAAAATAATGATGACTTAGAACCACACAAATTTCATCAAATTTAGTATAAGATAATCTTAAGGAGATTGGGAGAATAATGTCAAAAGACAAGATACAACAAAATGAAGGAAAAGTATTATTCATGATTGTTATGCTTGAAGTATAACAAAAGACAAGATACACTCATAGCTCGTTTGGTAATACCAAAATCGGCCGAATCGATTGATGTTGCTGATTTATGAAAGAATTATATTTAAAATATACCGAGTATTTAATTAATAAAATAAATAAAAAAGTACATGTAAAAATAGTTAAAATGATCGTCTACAGTAAATTCGGCCAATATAAATTGGAAAAGTAACTCCAACCTTATATTTTTTATTATTACATAATAATTCAGCGTCCGAAATAAAAAATTACATGCTTGGTGGAAATTTTGACTAATACGCTCGATAACCCGAAAAACAGAGTTACCAAACCGGCTCTCGGTCTTATAAAAGTATGGAATATTATGTGCTATGTATTACCTATTGGTGTCATATGAAAAAATCATAAAAATTCATGAATTTCGATATATTTTATGAAAATAAATTTTTTACATGACTAACAAAATTGGGATTATAATGATGCAAGGGATGACGTAGGGATGACATCATCCCCGTGTAGATGCAATGCATCCTAGGCCACACCCTTCTCTATTTCTTTTCTTTTTCATTTTTCCATTCCTATCAACTCACCCTCTATTTGTAACACTCTTCCTCCCCTTTCCCACTTTAATACCCAATTTAGCCTACAACTACATGAAATTAGGAGTTCAAAATTTTAATCTTTAACATTTTGGACTCTTAATACTACATCACTCCAAATGGTCCAACGACAAGTAGACCAGAGCTGTTAAGAGAGGGTGCAAATATTATTTCTTTTTAAAACAGGGTGCAATCTCTAATTTCAGCCTAAAACAGGGTGTAATGCTCAATTTGCACCCTGAACTCTAAAAAGCTCTAATTCACCCCCTGAACTCAACAAAAACGTTCAAATCTCATTTTTTGCAGGTAAAAGTCCGGTCACCGCCGAGTCACCCGGTCAGATGTCAATTGTGCATCCAATGTGGCAATTTAAGGGGTCAAATAGGCCACTGAACTCGACAGAATTGTTCATGATGGACAGTGTACCCGGGGGGTAGCTTATCCGAGGGGTTATTATGAAAATAACCTAGAGAGAAGTCAGAGCAAACAAGTAGGAGAGAGAGAGAGGCGATTATATTAATGAACTCGAGATGTTCTTCTCTACAATGGGAAAAGGGGGTGCTATTTATAGTAGCAATAAATGCGATGAGAGTACACGTGTCAGTAATCTAACGGCCGAGGGGTCACCTCAATCGGGTGGCACTGGCATTCGCATGTGCGCCGCATTGAATGCGGTGGGTGGATGTGACGTCGTATTAAATGCGGTGGTTGCTTGTCTCCAAAGGGAATCTTCGATGATTGAGTTGGTGACTGAGGGCTCCCCCTGCGGCCGAGGGCCCCGTGTAGCCGAGGGCGTCGTACAGCCGAAGGCTTCCCATACGCCGAAGGCACCAAAGTGCCGAAGGCTCCTGTTTTCTGCCATTTTCTCCCAGTAACTTTGCATGCTCAAATCTGGCTGCCCTGTGTAATTTGGAGCCTTCGACCAAGGAGGCCGAAGGCACCCCTATGTGTATCGTGGGCTTCTTGGCACTTGGGCCGCTGTATTTGGGCCCTCGATGTGTTTTGGGCTCATTGGGCCTGTGCAGGAGAAGTAGGAGTCTGTGGGACGGGGGTCCCTGGGCCATATAATCCTTCAGTTCAATTTACCCCCTCAACCATTAAAAATTGTCAAAAATGTTATTACAAAATAAAAATTAAAAAAATATAAGAATGTAATAATTTTTTTGGGTTTATATAATTAGGATGAAGTATAGTATATAATTCTAGAATAAAATAGTACGAAGTATAACCAAACATTCCAGCCCAACTGGTTGTGAGGTTACCGTGCCTAGCGAGAGGTCTCAAGTTCGAAACCCGCTAGGCACATAAAGGTTTGAAACTCAATAGAGTGAGTTTCAGCCTTGATTACTCCATGTTTCCCCAAGCCTCCCTCCCCTAAACCCCCCGGAGTAAAAAACAAATAGTTCAAAGTATATATACATATACAAAGTTTATATAATTCGAAGTTTATATATTTTTAAAATAGTTTATTTTTGTTTTACTTTTTTTATAAATTTAATTTACCGCAAAACATAAATACTTTCTAATTATATTATAAATAGAAAAATGGCACCTATATAAAACTGACCTCTCACTCTTTTAAAACGTATGACTAATTTAATTATGGAAATTTTCCCATTTAATACCGAGTATCAGTTTTCTGTCCCATGACCCATCCCAAGTTCCATCTTTTACGCTATTGTTATTTCTCTGACGTTTATGGCTCTGTTTGCAACCACTTGTGCTTAAATAAAAGCACTTTTTGGGAGAAAGTGATTAGTAAAAGCTAGTAGTGTTTGGTAAAATGAGTGCTTTTGTGTAATAGAAAAAGTAAAAAGTAGATTCTACACGAAAATCGAGGAAGTATAAGTTGATAATGTTTGGTAAAATAAGTGTTTTTTCTTAAAAAAAAAGCCAAAATCACTTTTTTTAATTGATTCCAAACAAGCCCTATGCCATCTTCTTCATTCTTCTTCTGAAGCTTCCACGTATACTTTCGTCACCAGTTCTTTCTTTTTGTTTAGCAATCAGTATCATCGTTTCCATTCATTCATTGACCTTTTAAAAATCATACATGCTTGATCCTTTCTTCCGCCCACGGGGCGGATATAGGATTCACATTCAAGTGGGGCCAAAATTATTTAAGAAATGCATATTACAAAAAAATGTCATAATGTAGTACTCTCTAAAATACTCGGTAACATTTATTTAACAAAATTTTTTTTCATGTGCAAATTAACATCTGTTACAACATAAATATCACAGATAAAGACACATATTATGAGAGTAAGAATTATTGTCAAAATCAAATACATAAAACAGCTCAATCTCATAAACATTTAACTAATTTTAACCTATCAAGCCAAATAAATTGAACTAATTAATTTTTTAGGCTAATATTCAAAAGCCCAAAATGCCCCGTATTAGCATCAAGCTCATTTAATGATTTCCAGGTTGTTGTAATCGATCGTAGCTAGGAGATCTAATTTAAATAATAATTATGTATGAAGGAATAAAGCAAAATGGCTCACTAAACTGTCTGCGCTTCTTTGTTATGAAGCAGTCAATCCATGCAATTTTGGACACAATTTTCACTATGGGCCATCCAGAAACAGTCTCTATGTGATTTAGTACAGGGGTAAGACTGCGTACATCAAAAGAGATTTACCCCAGTTGCCTTTGCGGCACTGGGGTAAATGAAAATGATGATGTATGAAAGAATAATCTTTCTCTGTTTCCGGTGTGGGATAAAGAGATTTAAGGGTGGGAAAACTGAAATTTTAAAACACAAGCTCTCCATTACAAAATTTAAAAAAATCTTACCCTCGACAGGATTCGAACTTAGGTTGTACAACTAGTTGTGCCTGCACACAACTGAATCAATTCCATCTCGCCACCACATTTTTTTGTAAACACCTTGACTTTCTTAATTATTACTACGGTATATTTTTTTGAGTATGGGCCTGGGCCTTCCTTGGTCCTAAGGCAGATCCCGCCCCTGCCGCCCACCACTTCTCCACAACTTAATTACACATAGATAAATTATGTTTGGTACGTAAGGGACTCCAATCCTTTTAGTGTATTTCGTGTAAGTAAGGGACTCCAATCCTTTTAGTGTATTTCGTGTAAGCATTAGCTTTGGGAATACAAACTTTACAAGTTGAGTGCCATATACCACAACAATGACTTGGGTATTACATTAGCATGGTACGAAGATTTTCCTATATGAGAACTCTTCCGGTAAGGTATATCTTAACGGAGCCGCCATGCAGCCTCCATGTTTTGAAGGCCTTCCCGGTGTAATTTTTTGATGAAAGTTTTTGAGCATGTTCTTCATCAAGTGTAGTACATCCATACCAAATTTTCAGCAAAAAATTCAATCGGGAAGGCAGTCAAATGATTTTTGGAAGATAATTGCACCCTTTATATACATATAAAACGCAGTTATCTTCCAAAAATCGTTTGACTGTCTTTCCGATTGAATTTTTTGCCGAAACTTGGTATGGATGTACTAGACTTGATGAAGAACATGCTCAAACAATTTCATCGAAAAATTCCACTGGAAAGGCCCTCAAAACGTGGAGGCCTCACAGCGGCTCTGGTAAGGTATACCTTATCAGAAGATTTTCCTATATATATATGTGTGTGTATATATATATGTATGTATGTATGTATGTATGTATGTGTGTATATATATATATATATATAGAGAGAGAGAGAGAGAGAGAGAGAGAACTTCATGTCCAGCCGGCCTGACGGGAACCGCCGTCCGGCCGAGGGCATTTCGGGCACTTCCCGGTGGAATGTTTTGATGAAATTTTTTGAGCATGTTCTTCATGAAGTCTAGTTTATCCATACCAAATTTCAGCTAAAAATTCAATCGGGAAGGCACCCAAATAATTTCTTGAAGTTAACTGGGCAGTTCATACATATAAACTGCCCAGTTAATTCAAGAAATTATTTGAGTGCCTTCCCGATTGAATTTTTAGCTGAAATTGGCATGGATAAACTAGACTTCATGAAGAACATGCTCAAACAATTTCATCAAAAAATTCCACCGGGAAGTATCCGAAATGCCCTCGGCCGGACGGAGCATCCCGTCAGGCCGGCTGGACAAGAACGGGACTATATATATATATATATATATATATTAGTGATTGTGTTGTTAGTCATTGACGGAGGCAAGTCACAATGATGTGGTTGTAATTGGCAGAGATAATTGTCACTCATGTAATATAAGAGTCACTGCCGTCATGAGTGTCACAGGAGCAGCGGAGTCACTGCGGCGGCCGGGGATTGCGACTTGGTCACTATGGCACTAAAGTCATTTGCCACTACATAGTGACTACACAACAAATCCAAAGTGGTTTTCCTTATTCTATTTGCAATCATTACTATTACAAGTCACTGCACCACAGAATGTGGAATACACCAGCCTTAGGACACTATGCCACACGACACAGTGACTACACCACACATCAGAGGTGGGAAATAAATCTCTATTTTCTAATTGATTGAAGCCACTAATTATGCAAGTCACTTACAATACCATGGAGAATACACCGCTCACTGCACCATTTTGCCAGAAAGGAAAAAACACTTTGTTCTCTATTTTCCGGTGAGTTCAATTCCTCTGTCACCTCTGATCGATGCTAGTTTACTGTCATTGACATACATTTTATGACATTTTAGGATGTCATAATCGTACCACACACCAGTCACTATAACCTCACACATACTGTAACGCCCCACCCGACTAGCTTACCCGGGCGGCGCGTCACTCGGCGGAAAACCGGGACGGATTTAATCAAAATACTTTTTGGTGATTCAAGAAAATAATGCCCCCATTTTTTTATACTTAAAACTTTTAATTCATTAAAAGAGAATTCTTCACTTAAAATAACGCGTATTAATTCCAAAACAACTTCATTAGTGGATACCCGAAAATGTCAAACTCAGAATGAGTAGAATGTTATTAAAACAGACATAACGTGAACATCATAAAATACTTGTAAGACTGCAGCGGAAGTTCTTAGGCATTAGTTCTATGCCTCCTTCCATCCCAGCGCTCCTAGCGGGTTCCGTGCTCAACCTACAGGTAGGAAAAACACACAACTACCGGCTCAACGCTGTGCTGAGTGGTACGGTAATAACATAACAATAATATTAACATATCAAAGAACATATTAATATATCATAATTCACATCTGATCAGACAAACATATAACATACCATGGTGAATCGAGCAACTGTTATAAAAATACAGATATTTACATACAGAACAGAATCATACTCAGATATCATAAGTATCATATACTTTTTATTCTGAGATTATTATATTCTTCTGAGATTTTTTATTATTATCATCGAACAGGCATTCATTCATAAAGAGCACTTAGACAGGGGTTGAAATAACAAAAGCATCACAGTAACCATCCGCCCGTGGACGAGACTCTGAGTTAATCACCTTTGACAAAGCAATATAACTCGCTAATCCAAAATTGGGCATATTCAAAACCACGACGATTACCGCAGGCCTCTCATCCCCCAATCCAAGTGCAAAAGTCTTACAGCATAAAATAAATAAGCAACAAAACACAATCGAAATAAAATAAAAACAAAACACAATTGACTCAACAGAAATAGAAATACTCGTCCAAACCATAGTCGCAGAATTCCTCCAAGGCGGCGGTTCTGGAGGTGGGCGAATCAACATCCCTTCGTCTTCTTTCACACATAGGCCACCAATGAACCCCTGAAATTTGATTTTCCAGTTCGACAGCATGATGTCGACCACCAGAAACTCCATGCTATCACCAATAGCCATCTAATTTGACAGCACGATGTCGACTCGTCCTTAACGCCTACCTTCCACCTCGATCGCAGCCAATTGCACTCGTCAGTCTGTCGTCAACCTACTGCTCTCGATCCTCAGCCAAAAGCCAAAGTCGGAAAACGAACCTAGCGGCGGCCAAACCCTAGGAGGACCGAAGGTTTAGAGAGCAATGCTCTCGCTCCGGTTCTTCTGAGATTATTATTCTGAGATTATTATATTCTTCTTGTGTACAGAACAGAAGCATATTCAGATATCATAATTATCATATAATTCTTATTCTGAATCTTATCATTGAAAAATACATATTCATTTAGCCTTGAACTCTAGAATCGAGGAATACTAACGGTAAGGAATACGGCCGATCGAAGTCCATACCCACATTACCCAGAAAAAATATGGAAACGTAATCGTAGGAGCTACACGTACCAATCCATGACAGAAGCTAGCTGAACAGAAAGGACGAGATCACCGAAGAGACCCGACCTTAACAGGAGAGTAATAGTGCTCTAAAAAAATTTCAGGAGTGTACGAAGTACACTAAACAGAACAAGAGTGTACGTAGTACACTAAACAGGAGAGCACTACTTCCTCTAAACATAATTTCAGGAGTGTATATAGTACACTAAACAGAACAGGAGTATCCTAGTCAGAGTACCGGACCAAGAGCAAGGCTTTTTCCATAATAATACACATCTTTTGTTTTAACTACAAATAACTATTCAAATACACAAATGATTTTCAATTATAAGATTTATCTAATCAAAAGTTGTACACTTTTTGTGTACACTTGTCTGTCGACAAACAAGTTGTCTGTCGACAAACAACTTGTTTGTCGACAGACAACTTCAATTGCGGGGACAGACAAGTGTACACAAAAAGTGTACAACTTTTGTGTACACCTAGCTCCACTCTACAAAATTTCTAAGGTCTTGTAACGTTCATCATCCCCATAACACAACGGGAAACAGGGACGGAAATAAACACAATAATCTAAGTGGGGCGGAAACGTACCGACCTTAGCTGATTGAAAAGGGTTTACGAGGAATATGAGTAAGCAGGCTAGCGAGCTCCTCCTCAAAGTCACAGTACCGCTTCTTCACTTAGCTAGCTACTAGTTTCTTCTTGAAGCTTATACAAAGTATTGTTTTTTATACAGTTATTGATGAGACCCTTAGGAAAAGTAATTGATAATTATTTGGTTGCATGACCATATGTAGGTATTTATACATGCAAAGCCTCCACTACAAAAAATTAGCCGTTTCTATATTCTGGAGATGAAGCCAAAATTGCACGAGAGACCCTCATATTCTAGCAACACGTACGCATGGCATCAATTTGAGGACTGTATTGAAGGCGTCCAAGTGTGATATGTCATGCATGTTAGGACAACATGGTCAGACTCATACTAGTGCAGAAGTTTATTACATGTGGAGGGTATCATGCATGTTAAGACAACTCATACTACTGCGTTGCTTATCTTCTGAAGCTCAGGGAAATAAGTCAAGGATTTATAAATAATGTGTCATGTGCAGGTTTTTATTATTATACTCTATCATATAGAAATTCTCACACGTAACTTTAGATGGCCGGGTTTGCTTTTGATCCCAAAAATAGATCGATTATGAAGTCTCCTAAAATGTCTCTTCTTTTATTTATTGATTAAATTTTAAACATTGGAATTTATATCATAACTATTTTAGTTTTATCTAATTGCTATTTTTAACTATCAACATTCATTGTATAGTTAATAATAACTTAACGGTTGGGACATTATGAGGAAGAATATTAATTCTGATTTATGTTACCGGCTAGACATGATTTTGGGGTGTTACGTTACACATACATGTAATCATATATGCAGAACTTGATTTAAAACCTCTTATCATATAACACGTTCAACTTTACTATGATTCTACGACCATACAATTGGAAAAACTAAAAAAATATACCACCTTCTTACTCAAAATCAAAATATGAATGCCAATTCAACGTTCTACATACATGTTTTCACTTGGCAACCCTTGAGATTAGGGTGTTAGTGACTTTGACCCCCTTCTTCTCGACAGAGAAACCTCATAGGGTCTGTTTGCAACAGCTTCTACTTTTAAAAAAGGTGCTTTTTTAATGAAATGGGGAGAAGTGATTAAATAAAAGTTGATAGTGTTTGAGAAAAAAGTGATTCTGAAAAGTAAAAGTGGGTAGTGTTTGGTAAAATAAGTGCTTTTTGTGTAATAGAAAAAGTAAAAACACTTTTGACGCGGAAGCCGAGAAAAATAAAAATTATAGTGTTTGGAAAATAAGTGTATTTTTAAAGTCAAAAGTTGAGAATTTTTTTTTTAAAAGCAGTTGCAATCCAACCCCTATATCAGGCATCCAAAGTTGATTCTAAAATTGGACGAAGAAATGAAGGAGAATGTTTAATCACGTAAAGTTCTCTCATTTTCGGCTTTCAGTTACACTCTTGAGTCTTGTCAATGGATTAATGCATCCAATTTTGTGGAATCAAAACGGTTGGTTGACTTCATCGCAAATGGTAGGTTCTACACTTCTACAATTTCAACCCACGTGTAGAAAAGGCTAGTCATATTTTTGGGATTTTGTTCATGGGGTCACTTTTTTGTCTTCAAGCCTTTATTTAGTAATATTAATTAATTAAAAAAAAGGCCAAATAGACATCTATTTTATGAGTTTTTTCCTGAAATAATGCAAAATTTACAAATATTTCCCAAACTAGGGTCCAGTTAAAAATATATCCCAAAATGCTGTTGAAACTAACTGCAGTTAGAAAAACCGCCAGTCTGATTGGCGGCTTACCTCAAGACAAAAGTGTTACGTAGGCACGTAGCAACGCAGCTTAGAATCCATTTTGCCATCATGGGCCTTACAATTAAAAAAACCCCAAATTATTTTAAA